AAAAACAAGAAACACTCTTCGAAATGACCGGAAGATACAACCAGAAATCAAAAAGAACAAAAAATAAAGGAAATATATAAAAGAGGTTTTATAAGATTAATGTTAAGTTCATCATTTTCTACGTATTTTTCTTGTCTTTCTATTGTTAAAAATGGTAGAGGACTTTATATAAGAAAGAGAAAGATATAGTAATGTATTTGACTAATTCAAGTCAAACTTATTAAGTTTTATTGACCCATTTAAAATCATCATAAAACAAAATAAATAATAATAGTTAATAATAATAATAATAATAATAATAATAATTAATATTAAAAAAATATTTTCTCATATTTGTCACTTAAAAATGAAATAAAATTATTTAAAACTTTTGAAATATCATCAAAATTTACAATAATCCCCCACATATTTTAAAAGTTCAAAAGAAGAGTAAAAAAAAATCATGTATTAACATCATGAATGTGATGCATCAAACTAGTGTAGCAAGTTATATGAACTAGTCCTAGAATGATAGTACTTAACATCCAATGAGATTGATGTAGCAAGCTATATGGACCAAGCTCACTTAATGTATGTTAGAGGTCTACCACTCACATCACGCCTCCATAATTCTTGTTGTTGATGCTATAGTGCGCTAATAGGTCGTGTGCGTGCCTGGTTATTTCATGAGTGCTCTAGAGATTTCGCCAAGATCTCATACACAAAGGTTGGGTTCCCATCACTTATTTATTTCAATTGGCTAAGTCCAATTCCCTTCGATGTGTCACAAATTAATTTCTTCCTAGGGCTTTGTCAAAAGATCAACTTTGACCTGATTCACACAATGGTAGGGGACTTTATATAAGAAAGAGAAAAATATATTAATGTATTTGACTAATTCAAGTCAAACTTATTAAGTTTCATTGACCCATTTAAAATCATCATAAAACAAAATAAACAACAATAGTTAATAATAATAATAATAATAATAATAATAATAATAATAATAATAATAATAATAATAATTAATATTAAAAACTATTTTCTCATATTTGTCACTTAAAGATGAAATAAAATTATTTAAAACTTTTGAAATATCATTAGAATTTACAACACATAGTAGCCAGATATGAAAGAAAACAGAAATGAGAAACACGAGAACATTAAATATAAATGACAAACATGAGAACACAAAACTTCTACATCATCTCCAAACTCAAGATGCTTCACCCTGGTAGAAATCCTATCTAGATGGTCATCAATAGAAGTGAAGTGGAGATCCATGGAGTTGAATCTATTGTTAATAGAGTTGTACCAATCATCAATGGAAACTTGTATGGGTTCAACCTTGGTCATTATGTTGGTTTTCTATTAAATAAAGCTTGACCACGAGCATTTGGTTGGTTGTGGATCCAGGTGATGAAGGTTCAGTATAAGATCATGGTTGACCTTCATTCTTATACATGTATTCCTTCTTTGTCTCGTCCCAATGTATACTCATATTACCAATTACACTAGAGTTGATCATATTATCATAAGCAGTCAATTAAATCATTATTTAATTTATGATATCCACATAGCTAGGGATGTACATGGGTTGCACCAACCCATAAAATGCAGTCAAGCCCACCCAAAAAAATCAAAATCAAATGGGTTGGGTCGGGTAACTGGGTGGTTACGAGTTTTAAAACTAAAAAATCTATTAAATATATCGGGTTTCGGGTAAAATTGGACCCTGACCCAAAAAACCCATTAACCCGCTAACAAACATTTATTATTATAATTTTGATGAATATTATTAATTTAATTGTTGCAATTTTAGTCTCTTGAACATTTACTATTATAGTGAACCCTAATTTTAACTATTTTTTAATGTTTCACTCTTTGGTTATTTTGATGTTAATACAATTTTATGTAATGCAACTTTAGTTTGTTGCTAGTATTTTATGATAATTTTTATTAGTTGATCTTATCATTTATTATTTTATGATGATAAAAAATAGTAAAAGTAAGTTATTAAAATTTTTTTAAGAAGATAGAAATGTAGAGTAATTTTTATGAAAAAATATAATGACTCGTCATTTAGTCATTTAATATTAATAAAATATAAAATTTATTTGGGCAACCCACTACTCAACCTAATCCAACCCAAAAATTAGTGGATTTGCTCAAATCGGCCCATTGGTGTAACAGACAGTTATTTCACCTCACTCAAATCGAAGTGTCTTATATAGATTGGATATTGGGTTTGGCAAAACTCAACCCAAACCGGCCCACGTACACCCCTATACAAATCAATGTGCAAGAGTTTTACTAATTTATATTCCATATGGAAGACTTGCAATCTTAACCCTGGATGAGAGCGTATGATTTTTAACAATTTAAGCTAGTTCCTATGAATATTATTTTTTAGGGCATACAAAAACTTAAGCTCAAACATGGTAAGCTGGAAGTAATTGGTGGCTTTTTGTATAATCATATAGCCCAAGAAATATTGCATCATCCTTTCATTTTAAAACAGATTTTTAGCAGATAAAATATTCTTAATTTTGGACGTTTCTTCTTCAGTTTTCTACTTCTTACTAAATATATCTTCTTCAGAAAAATGATATACGGATAGATAAGCTTCCTAATTGTTATATGCTTCATCGTCCTCCTTTGTATCGAGATTTTAGACTATTGTCATGCATTTGCATGCTATAGTAGAGCACCTTTACTAAGTCAGGATATATTGGACCCAAATATTCCACAAAATCACTTAGGCCATATGATACGGTGGGAGAACTGACTTGGAATTTTGCGTTTGTGTTCGCAAATGTTTTGGTTTAGCAAGAGTCACCACCGACTTTTTATTTTATCCTAAGGAAAGGTCAAAAAGCACAGGAAAGACCTTTGAGATGTTTTCTTGGGTTCGGGGAGTAGATTATGAAAAGGGAAGGTGCAAGCACCCTTTTCATCCATGGTTATCCATGGGCTCTTAGTTACTTGTTTAGATCACTTGCTTTGCTTTTCAATTGTTTGAAATGGTGCTTTGTGTGTGTGGTTTTGAAAGATGTTTTGAAAAGAGGCCATCATTGTGGCAAGCTTTCTAATGATTCTTGTTTGAATGTATACAAAGGTGTTTGTCTTTTTTGAAAAGACATTTCAATGTTTTGAAAGTTTGTTTTGAAAATTGTGTTGTGAGGTGTGTTTGAAAATAGCAAGGATGTTTGGCAAGCTTTTGATCAAGTAACTAAGAGTTGCCTACCCTATTTTACTCAAAGATCCTTCATAATGTTTTTAACCCTTTTGACAGTGTTGTTACACCATTGCATTTGGTGAACAACCTTGTGTTAGGATGTTAAACGGGACAGGCGCGGGTCATCGTATGGACCATGATAGCAATTATGTCAAGCATCTTTGGCAATTTTCTTGAGGGACTTGATCATTTTTGTTTTAGGCAACCAAGATAGCGTCATTGATGGACTATGATCTTTTATTTTGTTTTTGTTTTGCCAAAGTACCCAACATGCATACCATGACCCATTTTTGAAGGCAACAAGTGGATTGTAACCCTAGGGGTGCAAGTGTGCATTGTGTTTGATTTTCATGTATTTTTGTCTTTGATTAGGTCAAACTATTTGTTAATTTGGATTTTTGCACACAAACCCTAATTCTCTAATCATGGCATAATTGAAAGCGTAAAGTGCGAGAATTTAAAATCCTAAGCTATTACAACATGATTATGGGGATGTGGGTACAATTTTGAATGGGGGGTATTTGACAAGAAATATAAACCCTAATTTACTATTACATCCAAATTGAATCACAATGCATAAATATTTAAATGGACAATATTAAATAAACAAAATAAATAAATATCAAATAAGTATGAATTATTCAAAGAAAAGTTTTTGTCTGTTTATGTATGTAAAAGTATTTAGTGTGGAAAATGTATAAAGAAAATAAAATAAAAAAGATTAATTTTATTTGTTTTAAGGGTGAAACCCTAATTTCCTTAAGAAAATAAATATAATATATTATTTATATACAATAAAAATATAAAAATAAAATATACATAGAAAAAGGTATTTTTGGTATGAATAATAATGAAAATAAAAATGTAATATTTTTATATTTTTATTCTAAAGTTTTTAATAAAATAAAAGTATATATATATATTAAATATATTAAATATGTACAAATAAAATAAAATATGTACAAAAATAAATTATTCAAGAAAATATTTTTAGTGTGAATAAAAATAAGAAATAAAAATAAAAGTATGATTATATATTATTTTCAAGTTTTAAATAAATTATAAAAGTATTCAAAATTTTTTTATGTTAGAAAAAATTAAAATAAAATGCCAAATAAATGTAAAAAATTATGAAAATATTTTTTAAGCATTTTTTATATTTGGAAATAAATAAACAAAATCAGAAAAGAAAACAAAAATGCAAAAATGTAAAAATACAAGAAAATGGGCCAGGGGGTGCAAAAATGAAAGGAGTGGGTGTCAAAAGCAAGCCAGGTCAAGCCCAGCCCAAGCCAACTTCATCTTCAACCTTCAGACTTTGTAAACGCGCGCGCCTGGTTCAAATGTTAGATCCTGTATACGTGATCTTTTGCAAAAACTCACAACATCAAACTTGTAGAGAATTTCAATACGATTCTAACCATATAAACAACTAATCCTAAATCTCAAAGACCAGAGAGAATTTCTCTGGCCCTAAAATCCGACCTATTTTTTTTAGCATGTTCATGGATAAAATTCTCCTAGCACACTTGATATAAATGGAAACTGAGCATATGTATGGCTTCCTAGCAATGAATACTACATTTTTTATTCACAAACCTAAGGCTAAATGTTCCTAAATAGAGAGATAGAAAGTGAAGAAAAACCTGTTTCAGTTGGATTCGTGTAGGGCAATGTAGTGCTTCTCAACAAGTTTTGAGATGTCTGGCAGCTTGCTGGAACTTCACTTGTCCTTTTCCAATAGCTAGCTTGTCTTGAATGTCCTTGAATCAGCCTATAGAACTCAACCTACACAAGCTTGAAATGAAAATGGTGAACACTGTAAATGGAGTTACAATTGGTAATGGAGGTTTGGGATAGCTTGAGTGAGTTGAATGGAAGGTGTTTAAAGCAAAAAGGGGCAAAACGCACGAGCCAAATGAGCTATGGCACTCAAGTTGTAGCACCTGCCCTGTTTTGCCAAAGAAGTGTGATTTCTGGCTATGGGAGGTTTTGGGGCTCAAGCACTCGTGTTTCTTGCTAAAAGGGTTGTGAGAAAGATGTTTGAAGTGTTTGTGTAAGCTAGCATTGACTGGTTTCCAAGTTCTCAAGTGTTTGGACAATTTCTTGTTTTTGAAGTAAGAAAGTGGAAGTTGTGATTACAGGCCTGTACCAGCCATCAAATATGCTGCATACTTTGCTCTTGGCCCCTGCAATTTGTGGATTTGATTTGGCTTCTGAGATATGGACCAATGCTCAAGGGATAGTGGTTTGACATAAAGCACACTTTTGCAAAAATGGAAATGTGCCTTTTACCACTTAGGGCCTAATCTTGTGTGCAATGTCCAAATGGTCAAAACAAAAGCTTAGCCTGATGGATTTGAATTAAATTATGGAGTGTGAAATGGTCTAGAGGCCTGCAAACTAGTGTAAGGCATGCTGGTTTGAAAATGCCACTTGAGTAAACATGAATATGCCATGGAGACAAAGTGAGTTTTTGCCAACTTCAAACATTCGATTCTCCCTAACCACAAATGTGTTTGAGGAGTTCTTAGACAATTTGTAACTCCGCGAATTAACATAGAATTTACCACGCGGAACCAATTCATAATTCGAAACAGACGAACCACCACTACCACCACCACCGCTTCGTAATTTTCTCTTCTTCCTAATGAACCCTTCGTTTCCTTCAAAATTACCAACATACCCATTTTCAATTCCGTTTTCACCTATACTGTAATCATCGAATTCTTCGGGTTCTTCGTCTTCGTAAACATCGTCGATGCTGTTATCTTCTGGATCATCGTAGCGATGATACTGTAGGTTACGAATTGGGTGTTTTTGACGAAGATTAGGGTTTTTGCGTCGCAATGGGTATCCCTTTGATGGGTACCTAGCGTCATCTTCCATGTCGTCCATTCGATGGAGGAAAATTAGTGATTTTTAGAGAGAGATGTTTTGTGATTGAAGAAAAAGTGGGGATTTTGTTGGTTAGGGTTTTCGTGTGATGTTCAATTTGGGGAAATAGTTCTTGGTTTTTTTTCAGATTCTTGTTCTTTTTCTTTTTCTTTGTCTCTCTAACGTATGTTTCTCTTTTTTTTTTGGTCGAATTTGGGTTTCTCGATTTGAATGTTTTAGTGAAATAGAGAAAGAAAAGTGTTCGTGGGCTCAAAGGGAAATGAAGAAATGTTTTTCCACACCCCTACCCATTATTTCTTACCCATATAAAATTTGTAAAATATTCACTTTAAACTATTTTTTATGTTATCCGATATGTATAGTCGTATACCGAAAAATTTATATGTATGTTATTCGTCATGTAAATTGCTCGCTGGAAAACCCATATAAGTTATCCCAAGTGTTTTTTTTTATCACTAGATTACTTATATTTAAGCATCCCATTATGAATTTGTTTTTTTTTTTAAAGAAGTGGAGATCTCTATACTATACAATAAAAATCAATTATGTCTAGACATTACTAATACATTTTCAAATATAAGGAAATTTGATATAAGAAAAGATGTAAAGGAAATTGGAATCAGATTTAAAGTGATTGTCATTATTATACGATAAGATATGGAGAGAGAGAGAGACCCATCACCTTTAATAGTACATAATGTAAGTTCTCGGCCTGAGGTACTTGTTCCTCAAACTTTAAATGCAATAAGAGTCGTAAACTAGAATCCTCACTCATTGAAAATCACTTTCCTCCACCATATCCTTAGGTTCGTCCACCACATCCTAAAATTCCTCTAGTGCATCATTTGGTTCCTTCATTGATGCATTTCTTAAAACACTCTCAAGCCTCTTTTAATGCTCATAGCATGAATGATATTTTGTTGAACACATTCAATCGATGTAGCAAGAAAATTCAAGACTCATCATCAATAAAATTCATTCACAAAAAAGGAGGCGCGAGCATATATTTCCAAATAGTCTGCCACTCATAATCGACGAAACCCATTTCAAAAAAGAATCATATAATGCATCGTCCTCGGGTATTTGGCGAAGCCCCAAAGTTGGAAACATGTGATGGTAGTAGGGACCCTAATAAGTACGTCGAGTATGTGGATACCATTTTAGACTACCATCAAGCCAAAAGCGCAGTAAAGTGCAAGCTTTTCGTTCTCATGTTGAAGGGAGCCTCCATGACTTGGTTCAAAGGTCTGGAGGAAAATTCCATCTGTTCTTGGAACACGTTTTTCCAAGAATTTACATTGTAACTATAAAGTGAACCTAAGAGGGGGTGAATTAAGTTTTTTGGATTTTTCTTGTTTCAAGAAAAAAAAATTCCCCTTTTATTTTCCAGAATTAAGTTATTAAGCTTTGAATGTAAAATGCAGAAAAAATAAAGAGAAAGAATGTAAATGACACAAGGATATATCCTAGTTCCCCTTATAACCAAGGGTACATCCAATCTTTTCACACCTTGAAGAAATTTTCACTATGTTAGATCTTTGTACAACCCTGACACCACGACCACTCTTACAATCTTATAACATACACAATAAAGCACACCACTTTCTTTTTCACAACACTTATAAAAAGCACGCTACTTTCTTCTACACTTGCATTTCCCCACACCTTGGTGATGAAGTTACAACAATATGATGATTTTGGAATCAAATTGATTCTTAAAGTAAGTCCAAGATGAAGGTCGATCTTCCCTTTCTTACAAATACAATCTAAACTATATTATATCAAATGCTCATAAAAATTGAATGAAACTTTGTGAATGATATACAGTTTTTACAAGGCTTCAAGTATTTTTTTAAATGTATGAACTCTTAGAATTGTTTGAATTGACGTATAAATTAATAATGAAATATTTGAGTTTGAATTATGATGTAGAATGCCTTAAATATATGTTATGAAACCCCTATGAATATATGTATAAGAATGGAGGAGTACCATGAAGCTTTCCCTTCTCGGAATGTGTCATTGCTTGATGAAAAATGCATATTTTCATATGTTAATCGATTACTATAAGGGGGTAATCAATTATCAATGTCCAACAATCATATTTTTATAATTTGAAAGATGGTAATCAATTATCAATATGGGGTAATCGATTACCACAAAATCATGGTCAAAATATGAAGGTTTTGAAAGCTTGGTAATCAATTACCAATATGGAGTAATTGATTACCACACAGTTTTAACCAAAAACATGATTGTTTCAATGCATAGCTTTGATATTTTTTTTAAACCCTTTTTAAGATGAATGCATATGAGAGTGAGATGAAATAGATGTGGTTTTTTTTCTAAGTATCATAGAGTGTTTTATATTAAGAGTATCTTGATTTTCTTATCACTTAAAGACTTATTTTGATCATCTTCATATCACATGTATTAATATATTACTATGATGCTTGAACTTCTTTTTCTTCTTTAATATATGTTTTCTTCATTAAAACCCATTCTTCACAATTTCATCCTTTTTTTTACTATGACAAACAATGGAGATTGTGTTTATGATAATTCATGAGTTTCTCCTCTTTAATCATATGTCTCCCCTTTTATAATTGAAATTTACAGTTTATGGGATTTTATTTGATCTTACCGTTTGTAAAAATCCATGCAAAATACAATATCCCACTTGTTCTCCCCCCTTTTAACTTATCAAAAAGAAGAAGAAGAAAATGGTACAAATAACAAACATACAATCGAGCATAATAATTCATACACAAAGTAAGAGAAACCATATATTTTGATAATAAAACAAAATTATAGTTACCTTAACATAAAACAACAGCATGCAAAGTATGTTAAGGCTTACACACAATGTTGTATGATCTGACCACCAACATAACTTGATTTCATCTTCTAGTAATGATTAATATTTATTCTGCAAAATAAAAAAAAAACTATAAAAACCTGAGACGTGTATGAACATTGTCCTTAAGGATTTATTTTCTCCATAAACACAAATCCCCCAGAATTCAACAGGTTCTTCCTATATTCTCATTATAAATATGAGATATCAGAAAAACAAGAAACACTCTTCGAAATGACCGGAAGATACAACCAGAAATCAAAAAGAACAAAAAATAAAGGAAATATATAAAAGAGGTTTTATAAGATTAATGTTAAGTTCATCATTTTCTACGTATTTTTCTTGTCTTTCTATTGTTAAAAATGGTAGAGGACTTTATATAAGAAAGAGAAAGATATAGTAATGTATTTGACTAATTCAAGTTAAACTTATTAAGTTTTATTGACCCATTTAAAATCATCATAAAACAAAATAAATAATAATAGTTAATAATAATAATAATAATAATAATAATAATTAATATTAAAAAAATATTTTCTCATATTTGTCACTTAAAAATGAAATAAAATTATTTAAAACTTTTGAAATATCATCAAAATTTACAATAATCCCCCACATATTTTAAAAGTTCAAAAGAAGAGTAAAAAAAAATCATGTATTAACATCATGAATGTGATGCATCAAACTAGTGTAGCAAGTTATATGAACTAGTCCTAGAATGATAGTACTTAACATCCAATGAGATTGATGTAGCAAGCTATATGGACCAAGCTCACTTAATGTATGTTAGAGGTCTACCACTCACATCACGCCTCCATAATTCTTGTTGTTGATGCTATAGTGCGCTAATAGGTCGTGTGCGTGCCTGGTTATTTCATGAGTGCTCTAGAGATTTCGCCAAGATCTCATACACAAAGGTTGGGTTCCCATCACTTATTTATTTCAATTGGCTAAGTCCAATTCCCTTCGATGTGTCACAAATTAATTTCTTCCTAGGGCTTTGTCAAAAGATCAACTTTGACCTGATTCACACAATGGTAGGGGACTTTATATAAGAAAGAGAAAAATATATTAATGTATTTGACTAATTCAAGTCAAACTTATTAAGTTTCATTGACCCATTTAAAATCATCATAAAACAAAATAAACAACAATAGTTAATAATAATAATAATAATAATAATAATAATAATAATAATTAATATTAAAAACTATTTTCTCATATTTGTCACTTAAAGATGAAATAAAATTATTTAAAACTTTTGAAATATCATTAGAATTTACAACACATAGTAGCCAGATATGAAAGAAAACAGAAATGAGAAACACGAGAACATTAAATATAAATGACAAACATGAGAACACAAAACTTCTACATCATCTCCAAACTCAAGATGCTTCACCCTGGTAGAAATCCTATCTAGATGGTCATCAATAGAAGTGAAGTGGAGATCCATGGAGTTGAATCTATTGTTAATAGAGTTGTACCAATCATCAATGGAAACTTGTATGGGTTCAACCTTGGTCATTATGTTGGTTTTCTATTAAATAAAGCTTGACCACGAGCATTTGGTTGGTTGTGGATCCAGGTGATGAAGGTTCAGTATAAGATCATGGTTGACCTTCATTCTTATACATGTATTCCTTCTTTGTCTCGTCCCAATGTATACTCATATTACCAATTACACTAGAGTTGATCATATTATCATAAGCAGTCAATTAAATCATTATTTAATTTATGATATCCACATAGCTAGGGATGTACATGGGTTGCACCAACCCATAAAATGCAGTCAAGCCCACCCAAAAAAATCAAAATCAAATGGGTTGGGTCGGGTAACTGGGTGGTTACGAGTTTTAAAACTAAAAAATCTATTAAATATATCGGGTTTCGGGTAAAATTGGACCCTGACCCAAAAAACCCATTAACCCGCTAACAAACATTTATTATTATAATTTTGATGAATATTATTAATTTAATTGTTGCAATTTTAGTCTCTTGAACATTTACTATTATAGTGAACCCTAATTTTAACTATTTTTTAATGTTTCACTCTTTGGTTATTTTGATGTTAATACAATTTTATGTAATGCAACTTTAGTTTGTTGCTAGTATTTTATGATAATTTTTATTA